GTGGACGTGGTCGAACCGGGTCAGTGGGAGTCGGAATTTCCCAAACTCGCTCTTCACATGGTGGTGGATCTTTGACTGCTGGCAGTTGACGCAAGCTCTCGACCATTGCCGGACTTGTTTAGCGAGACCGCGCCAAACGAATCGTCTGGACACCAACTTGATCGTTGTGTTAGCCCCAGGATGGGATATCTCGTGCAGAAGATGGAAAACTCGACGCCGCCAGGCACTGGGGAGCCACGGTCGCGGACTGCCTGTGGAAGTATCGCAAAGCAAGACAGGCCCGGACGGCACCAATTCAACCTCCTCCCATACGAGACTCGAGTCAGCGCGACGACAATCTCCGTACTCGGAGTCCGCTCTCTGGTCCGCGGCGAGTTGTTCGTAGTCCACACCAAGGGAGACGTTGTTGGCCAGGACGACCCGAGACAGCGCATCCGCTACGACATTCTTCTGCCCCGATATATGTTGAATGTCCGAGGTCAGCTCCGATATGAACGACAGGTGCCGCTGCTGTCGCGATGACAGTGGTGTGCTCTTCTTGGCGATGCAGAACGTAAGCGGCTTGTGGTCCGTGAATATCGTGAAAGGACGACCTTCGACGTGGTGGAGAAAGTGTCTCAATGCCAAATAGATCGCGAGCAGTTCTCTGTCGAAGGTGCTGTACCGGGTCTCCGGGTCTCTGAGTTTCCGACTGAAGAACCCGAGGGGCTGCCAAATCCCGTTTTTAAGCTGCTGCTGTAGTACCGCCCCGACCGCCACGTCCGAGGCATCCGATACGATGGCGAGGTTTGCACCGTGGACTGGATGAGCGAGGAGGGTAGCGTGCGCCAGGAGGTCCTTGGTTGCCTGAAGAGCAGAAACAGTCTCGGCGTCCCAGGGAACAGCTGTGGTTTTCGCCTTCGGGCTTGGATCTAGAACCTTGATCAGTGGCGCCATCACCGTAGCTGCCTTGGGGAGAAAACGATGGTAGTAATTGACCATGCCGATGAAGCGTTGGAGCTCCAGCATCGTTCTTGGCTGCGGAAAATCGCGGATGCGATCTACTTTCTTCGGCAGCGGGGCGATACCCTCCTTCGAAACGCGATGGCCTAGGAAGTCGATCGAAGGAACTCCGAAACGGCATTTCTCGGCGTTGACCACCAGGCCGTTGTCCCGAAGCCGTTCGAGAAGCGCCCTGAGGTGTTCGAGGTGTTGCTTTCTGCTCCTCGAGGCAACAAGCACGTCATCGAGATACACGAAAATGAATGGGAGGCCACTCAGAACGGAATCCATGAGCCTCTGGAACGTTTGAGCACTATTCCGTAGGCCGAAGGGCATCCGCGTATATTCCCAGAGCCCGAAGGGAGTGATAATGGCGGTCTTAGGGATGTCTTCCGGCGCCATGGGGATCTGATGGTAGCCCTTGACCAGATCGATTTTCGAGAAGAGCGTACATCCGTCAAGGTTCCCTGCAAAATCGTGGATGTGTGGGAGCGGGTACCTATCCGGCTCGGTGATATCATTGACCTGTCGAAAATCGCCGCATGGTCGCTTGGTTCCGTCCGTCCTTCGGTACGACGTGGAGCGGGCTGGACCATGGACTGCACGATTTTCTGATAATGCCAAGGTTCTCCAGGGATCGAAACTCTTCTTTGACTACCCGCAGTACGTCGGGGGCGAGGCGGCGTGCCTTTGCGTATCTCGGAGGGCCCTTGGTTACGATGTGATGTTGAACTGAATGCTTGACCGCTGAGTCGAAACTGGGTGTGAGTACGCTTGGGAACTCCAGAAGGAGTGCTTCAAACTCGTTACTGGGTTTGGTGAGTATACTGATGCCTTCTCGGGGTTGTGCCACTCGCAGCGGTATAGACACCAGTGAAAGATTATCGAGAAGTCTTTGACCGCGGAGATCCACTATAAGTCCCGCGCTTCTGAGGAAGTCGGAACCCAGAATCGGGTGAGTGACATCAGCAATGATGAACCTCCAAGCATGTGTGAAACGTCCTCCGAGGTTCAGGGTGAGATTCTTCATACCGTATGTGCTGATTTTGCTGTGATTTGCGGCAAGTAAGAAGCGATCTGAGGGAGATCCGCGATCGTCCGGCGTCGGCGGTACGATGCTTACTTGGGCTCCTGTATCTACTAGAAACCGACGGCCGGAAGTGGTGCATTTGACGAAGAAAAGATCACCCCTCGGCTGGGAGCCGGCCGCGAGCGTGATTACTGGCGGCCGGCCGGTTCGTTTCCCTGCGCTGGAGACACTCTCCCGTTCCAAGAACATGGCATTAGACAACTCCTGGCTCTCTCGCCGAATTTCGCGTGGAATCTGCATTCGCGCTGAGTCTTCGATGACTTTGCCCCTCTAACTCCGCTCTTGCCTCGAGTCATCTGCCGCACCGCGTCGACTTCCTCTTCGTCTTGCACCGCGAGCACGCTGGCAGCGTGACGTTGCACGAAGATCTTGTCGGCAAGTTTTGCCACGTCCCTGAGTTCAAGATGATCGCACGCCGTGACTTGATCTCGGACGTGGGGAGGCAGTTTTTGAAGATAATGGAACCGGAAAAGCGGGTTTTTCGAAGGGTTCGGGTCTGGCCTATACAGCCCTAGCATTCGGTCAAGGAGTCTCGAGGGGGTATCATCGCCGATTGTGAGCGAGACGAGGGTTGAGAAACGCTCGTGTTGACTGACTTTGAAGGAGTCCAAGACTCGTGCCTTGAAGGATGAGTACCGCGTGCCGGCGACGGGCAGGTCGTCGAAGAAATCTCCCACTCTTTCTTGCGTGTCAGAATCAAGAGCGGTCAACGCGTATTCGAACTTCGTTTGGTCATCGACGATCTTTCTCAAGCTGAATTGAGCTTCTATCGTTGTGAACCACACGGTGGCTTGTTTGGGCCAGAATGGGGGTAGCTTCAGGGAGACCGCGGATACGCTTGGTGTGTCACGGTTCGCCATCGTGGGGAGCACCTCCAAAGTGTCCTCAAAAGATTCCTGACTCATTTTGTGTACGTCCGGGTCACCAATGTAGTGAGTCACCACTACGAGAAAGAGTACACGTTCACTAGCGTAGACTAGCAGTAACGAAGTGATTTAATTTCGTCGTTCTCATGGAGATGAATCCTGTCGCTAGCTATTACGGGCGGCCCGCCACACACTCATGAACACCATCATCATCATCATACTTTGTTTGATGAATGTGGATATCGTCGTTATCGTTGGTCTCAATTTGCATCCCCAAGAAATATGACAAAGGTTGACATGTTATGTCAAGATCTTTCTTTAGAGAGTCGATGAAATCCATAGCGATCTCTTTGGATTTGCTCATGATTATTCCGTCGTCCACATATGCGCAAACGATCAGACGTTCGGGGCCGTTGCGATAGTCTATGCAGGGATCAGTCTTGCTCCGTGTGAGTCCCTTGTTTATCAGAATCTTTTTCAGGGTCTCATTGAATTCAAAGGGACTCTGTTCTAATCCGTAGACTGCTCGTAGGAGTTTCAGAACCTTGCCTGATCCATCATTTCTGCCTTCGGGTTGAAGGATATAAATGTCATCGGACAGATGAGCGTTCAAGAATGCGGTCTTGACGTCGAACTGATGAAGGTACAGTTTCTCCCTCGCCGCAATGCTCAACAATGTTCTGACTCCTTCAAGTCGAGCTGTGGGACTGAGAATCTTATCGGCAGAATAATCAAGTCCCTCAGTTTGCTTGTATCCGCGGATCACCAATCTCGCGCGATATCTTCTTGTCACATCCTGGGGATTGACCTTAAGTTTGAAGATCCATCTGGTGTCGATGGCTTTTCTGCCTGGGGGCAGATCAGTTGGAATCCATGCTTTTAATTGTTCCATGGAGTTCAGTTCCTCTTGGATTGCAGCAATCCATTGAGATCTCTCTGGGCTCCTGAGAGCTTCTTTGTAGCTTGTTGGTTCTGAATACCTTCCAGTGGGTGACTCAGCTCGAGCCACAAACACTGAAGAATTATTGTCGCCATCGGACACAGCATCAGAAATGGGCTCATCGTGGGACGATGATGGCCATGTTCCAGGTTCAAGAACATTCGCGAGTCGATGTGAGTGGGATTGCTTGTTCGGGGGACTCGTTACCGCTTTCATGATTCTCGATTTCCTTGTCTCTTTCATCATGAGGCTGCGTGTTGAGAATTTTTGGTTCTACAGTGGGCGCTTGTTCTGCTGGAACATTTTCCCTCCCACTGGATGTTTCCATTTCTGGATGAGCTTCCTTTTCAATACTCAACGGGGGTTTCTTCAAGAAAACTACATCCTTTGTATGGATCAGTGTTTGGGAGTTTGGCAACCACACTTCATAGCCAAGACCATGATCGGCATAGCCGACCAGCCGACCTTTAATGCCTCTCCTCTCATACTTTCGCAGTTTGGGCTTTGGGGATCTGATGGAAAATTCTTCTCCAAATGGGTAAAGCCTTCCCAAATAAGGCATTCCTTTGTGGATAATTTCGTACGCCGAAATGTTGAGCGTAGGATGGATTGACACCGTGTTGAGAATATCCGCGCAGTAATTTACGCATTCTGCCCAAAGATATTTCTTGTGTTCAAGACCGGCACTGATTAGAACGGATCATACCAATTTGTTGACTGTACGATTTCCGCGCTCTGAAACTCCATTCTGAGCAGCGGTGTACACCGAACTGAAAGTTTGTTCAGCTCCGATTTCTTGAAGAATTTTGGTAACCTGATTATTTTTGAACTCGGTTCCTTCATCTGAGTGAAGGCGTTCGATGTCACTGCCGGTTTGAGTCTTGAGCCATCGGACATACATGGTTAATGGTTAATGGTTTATTGTGATCTAGATTGAGGTGTATATCTGTTTGTTTGTATATACATAGTCAATCAGCCTTTCATATCAGGCGCGAAATTCAGCAGATCGTTGTTTGTCCCAGTCCTCCAGGATTCTTTTTGTCCTTCTTACTTCGGTTGCATTGTTTGCTTCTTCGTGGAGTCCGAGACGGCACAGGAGTTCTTCTCCCGTGTGGTAGATGTCGTTGCATTCGAAGATGACGTGTTCCATCGTCTCTTCGTAGATGCCACACCTGGGACAGGTTTTGTCGATTCCGGGGTACATCTTGTGGGCTCTGGTTGGCAACATGTTGGCTCTGGCCAAAGCTAGGAGGGCGCTTCCCTTACTGTTATCGTAGGTGAAGCTAGTTACACCTCGAGTCTTCTTTCCCATGGCGTAGGTACTGAGGCTCGTCTTGAGGAGCATGTTGTCTCTCCACATCGCCTCTTGGGTCTCTCGTATCCTCTCTTTGATCCTTTTGTTGAAGATATTCGAGAGCGGGCGTCCTTCTACATCGAATTGGAGACTGATGTCTGAGCACTTGTATTTCGCTCGAAGTCGTTCGGTCTCCTGGTACGCCTTGGTTTTCTTCAGAGTGAGCTCCATCATTCTCAAGATCGCTTTCGGCCATCTATTTTCAGGCATCGATCTCACTCTTTCGAAGTATCTTAGTTTGCTCTGGGCATCTCTTGCTTCGAAGGATGACCATCCAAGTTCGCCTTCGACGAACTCGTTCGATACTCTCGATCCTGGAATTCCTAGTGCCCACTTCCCTGCTTTCCGCTGGGCTCTATCCAGGGTGTCCCTCAAATTGGCGCTCCTCACCAAGACCGAGTTGGCATAGGTGAGTTTCGGGACGGCGGTTGCTTTCCACTGCACTCTAGTGATTTCGAATCGGTTGAAACCCTAGAGAGACGTAGCATGCATTGCATGCAGGCGGAATTCGCCCCTTTCGCCCAGGCTTCCTCTTGTGCATTGAGGTAGTTCCTGGAGTCGGATAGGGTTATCCCCAGGTACTTGTAGTTTTTTGTCAACTGGGATGGTTTGGCCTTGTATGGTCAATGTTTTCTTCCTACCCACTTCGTGGGGCGAGTAGATCACGACGGCACTCTTCTCTGATTGAATAGGAGTTTATTCCGGTTTCCGTATTCTGTGGTGACCTCCAGGAGTTTCGCCATGTCGTTGTGGTTCCTCGCCATCAGGACGAGGTCGTCGGCAAAGAGTAGGCCGGGGATGTCGAAGTGTGTTTTTCTCTCGTATCCCACGTCCATCTCGCTGTTCTGACCTGGAATC